CGGGGAGGCCCTGCGCCGGGCATTTGGGAGGTGCGAGGTGGACCAGGGGGCCGCCGCCCGCCTTTTCCTCTCCTGAGGCGGCGGCACCACCGGGAGGGGCCGGGCCGGGCCGCGCCGCCTGGGGGCTCCTGGCCCTTGAGGAGGTGCGGGCCTGGGGTCGCCTGCGTGAGAGAAGCAGCAGCCATGAAGCAAAAGTAGAGGTGTAAATAGCGTTATGCGTTGTCTTGCTTTATCTTTAATGCGTGTGTCTTGTTACCAGGTTATACGTTATGCCAGATGTTGGGCTGGTCTAATAAGTGAGTTTTGCTGCTTTTAAAGTGAATTGTGCATAATACGTTGAATTAACAAAGATTTCCCATTTTCTCCCAGGTATTGAGACAGAGAAAGATTTGTTTGGGGATGGTTGGTCGGTATCTTTATCCTTAGTTGTGTATGTAGCAGTATATGCTGAATAGCGACATGTCCTCAAAGAAGAAAATGAAAGGAAAGCATTCCAGAGATGAATTACAGGCAAGTTTTACTAGTTTGAGCAGAATTAAACCAGCAGGTGTTCTGTTTTACTGTTTTTGTGGCACTGGCTTTGGAGGTGGGTGCACAGGTGTTAACGTGAGCCTTTGCTGAGAGCTGTGCTGTGCGGTCTCTGCTGGTGCAGGTTTGGGGTCTGCAGTTTCTTTCTTTTTCTATTTTTTTCTTTTAGGAGTAGCACATCATGAGGCAAAACGGGCCATTGCGCTTCAAACAGGCAGAAGTTTGAAAGTAGTCTTGTAACATTCTTGTAACATCTAGTGCTATTCTCTCCTACCCTTCTGCTTTACAGAAGTGTCTGTTTAATACTTGACTTACAGATTCCTCCTTTTATAAGAAACTAATGCATAGCTTTTTTTTTTAAGTGAGAATCATTAAATTGGACAAGCATGGAAATTCATGTAATAGAGAGCTGAAAGAAGAAATATTTTAATGCCTGAAAAGAAAAAGGCCACAGATAATAGAAACCAGATATTAGACTGTTAAAATATTTCTAAGCTTATACACTTAGCTTTATAAAATAAGACAAAGCTGATGCTACAGCATAGTAACAAATAGCAGAATACAACAGTTTTACACCATCGCTTTTCTTAGAAAAAAAGCAGCCAGAGGAAAAAACGTTTCAAATACTTTGTAGCTCAGTAGTCAATATGGTCCAGGTTAAATGTATATTTCTAGTCATTCAAGAAGCTGGATGAACTAGCTGCTATTTTCGTACCCATCCAGGAACGCAAAGCCAACTTCCATCCCTGTTCAAATTTCCTTCCCCTTGAGGAACCGGATGTCTCAAGGATACCGAAGGTAGCAGAAGCAAATAATCTTGAGGAGCTCAGCGATTCATTTGGTTAGTGTTAACTTCAATGTCATTAAATGCATGATTTTCATGAACAAACCACACGGGCAAAGTATGTCAGTGCTTACCTAGGAAAACTTTTCTTGCCAGAGAAAGTTATGGACATGAGAGACAGAGACTTTTTAAGCGTGGTGTTACTTTTTGTCATTTAGGAACAGTGCTGTAATACATGCAAGTAAAAGTCAATGGAAAAATACTGGCTATTCAAGTTTTATAGTCTAAATGGTAGAACTTCACACAATATAACATTGCAGTATGTAAGAATGTACATTTAAATATGAAAGTTCAGTATCCTAAGTTATTCTCTATTAAATCAGAGAACTTGTGCACAGAGGCCTTAGTATACTGGAAGAGACTAAATTTTGCTGGAATAAGCGCCCCTGTGTGAAGTCCTCTGTTGTTAGATAGATATAGCTCTTGTATGTCAATGTCAAAAAATCTTTTAAAAACTGTGTGATTAGAAGCTGTAGAGAAAACGCTGAGAGCTGTTTCTAAGCTGTAATTGTTATTACTCTAAGAAAATCATGGAAATATACATGTAACTTCTAGAAACTGCACTGAAAATGAATTGTAAAGAACTTTGTCACAAGGGAATATATGCAAAATGAAAAGCTCTTCTCCTCATTTCTATAGTGTGTATTAGAAGCTATAAAAAGGATGCCCACTAACACTAATGTCAGGTAACAGTAAATTTTTGTGGCAATGTGCTTGGAAAAAAAAATAATATATATTGTGGAAGGCTTACTAAAACCTTAAGGTTAATATTAACCACAAATACTCTAACTAAACACTTAATGACAGGCAGTGCTGTCATGTCCACGCTTTTTGCCTGAAGAGATGGGAACAGTTTTCATGCGGTTCATTTTCTGTCTGTTCCAGATCACCCTTTGCACAGTACCGCTGTGGGTGCTTATGGAGAGGAGCATTCAGAAAATGAGTCGCTTGGTCATGCTTCAGCTCCACGGAGGGAAAATAGAAAGAGAAGGTCTGGTGAAACAATTATTGCCAGCATTTGATCTTTAGGTTTTTAGATTGAATGGGGAAAAATGTTCCGTTTGCCAGATTTCCCTAGTTGCTTATTAAACAGGTATTTCAACTTAAAATTTCCCAGGTGAGAAACCAAAACAGCAAGGTTGAGGAATGTAGAAAAGAAATAGGAGAATAAACTATAGTCTGCCTTCTGTAAACAGTGCATTGATTTAAGTACTCAGTGTTATTTTTTTATATGAGAGGATTTTAAAATATCTCTGAGAGATATTAATTAGTTCTCTGAATGCTAATGTCTTTAAAGTTAAAAGGCGAAAAAAATGAAAAATATGTAGAAGCCAGTTAAAATATATGTAACGAAATCATTTAAAAAATATTTTAATGCAAATTATAGTATATTTCTCATTTGTTAAATCAAATTTGGGTTAAATCTGAAATAATTCTTACGTGAATTAAATAGCAAGACAGATGATAGTGCTTGTATGGGAGTATGTATTTTTTAATTGTTTTTTTTTCTTTCATTTCCAAA